TCAATGCATTACACACAAAAATCTGACATAAAAAGTGCGATTTTTAAACTTGTATACCACGTTATTATAAATCCCGATGATTAATTTTAAAATTGTATGAATATGAATCCCGATGTGAGGCTTTTAAATCACGTGAATATTAAACTCTATATCGAATTTTAAAAAATGCGAAAATACAAATCATGATGCGTTATTTTTAGATCACGTAAATACGAATCACGATGTATAATTTTTAAATCGCGTGAATACAAATCACAATGTTTAATTTTTAAAGCACTTATAGTTACAAAAATCGATGTTTGATATTACAACTGCAAAAACGAATCACGACATTGGATTTTAAGCTCGCGTGAATACGAATCGCTACATAAGATTTTAAAAGAGCGTAAATACAAATCGTGATATTGGATTTTTAAATCTCGTGAATAAGAATCGCAATGTACGATATTTAAATCGCCTGTATAAGAATCTCAACGTTCAACTGTTAAATCAGGTAAATATGAAAATCGATGTTTGATAATAAAATCGCGATTTTAAAAATGTATAAATCCAAAACGCGATATTGGATTTTTAAATCTCGTAAATAAGAATCATATGTACGATGTTTATATAGAGTAAATAAGAATCGCAACGTTCAACTTTTAAATCAGGTAAATACGAAAATCGATGATTGATATTAAAATCGCGTGAATAAGAATCGAGATATTTGCAGAGTCTGGACTTGGGATTTTTAAAAGGCTTGCTTGTATTGTTTTTGTTTAAACATAATAAATAAAAATTTACAAGATTAATTGAATGAGCAAATATATATTTTCACCGCAAATCTACGTCTATTTGTTTTTTTCTTCCCCCGTTTGCTTTCACGCCAGACAACAGGGTCACGACGTCTGAATTGCGAAAATACGAGCTATCCGGCGACGAATAAAAATGCGGAAGATCTTATTTTCTGTGTGTAAAAACAGAGAAAATAGCTAAAATAAGTAAAAATACGGAAGGGCTAGGACGTAGTTTGAATTTTCTGTTTATCATTGAAAATTGTAAATAAATATAATTATTTTATTTCAAAGACTGAATTTTAAAAAAAAAGCAGGATATTTATTAAAAAAAGAACAAAACTTTTAGAGAATCGGAGTTTTTGATAAAAAGGCTGAAATTCGAGAGGCAAAAGTGAAAAATATCATCCCTGTATAAGGGTCAACCAGTTTTATCCCAAGGAAATGATTTTTAGAGAAACTTTAGAGGGAGGAATGAGGACTTCAATACCTTCGCTCCGCGGAAAATTAAATTCCTCACAAAATATTTTAACTTGTTCAAAAATTTTTTTTCACGGGAATTAGAGGGAAAAATCTGAAAAAAAGAGGAAATCTGCGAATCCGAGGTAGAATCACATCTCTGAATAATGCAGTAATAAGCCAGAATATGTTATAAAAAGGTTTATTTAAAGGTATACTGGTGGTTATAACAGTTCACATCCCCACTCCACAAGGGAGGGGGTGTGGACAAAAATCCGGATGGTTCCGTCAGAAGTTATATGGAACACGTTATTCAGCAAGAGACATGCGAAAATCATCGGTCCCGCATTAAATACTTACAGATTTTGATGTAAACAGGTTCCAGTCATATATACCTTGCAACTCTACGCATTAAGGAAAATCATTTAATGCTTCCAAATATGGAAGTGAAAGAGGGTCAAGATTCTAAAAATAATATATCTAATATAAATATAAATCTAATTATAATTCAATGGTATGTTTTCAGCCTAGAAGTAATCGCCAAAATAGAATTTCTACACCTATTCTTTACCAAAGACATTAATGAAAACGAAAGAGTTTTAATGTTGTTATTAATACAAAAGTATTTATAATTTTGTTTGTTTGTTTTTGTGTGTTTGTGCTTTTGTGTGTGTGCGTGTGTATGTATGTATGTATATATATATATATATATATATTCTAAACATTTAAATTACAAAAAATGAAATGAAAACTTTTTTATATATCTACATCCTACTTACAATACAATAGTTTATTAGTCAAGTAATGTTTAATTTTGAAAGGAATTTTGTCCCCCAAACCCTCCCCAAAACTACGCTACTGAGAGCATACAATGCGCACATACCGTCATTGCATGCGTTGTCATGTCGACCGCTGATGTTTGATAATTTTTAGAATTCTCTTTCTCGTTTTAAGTTTATTATGCATTGATATTTTTTTGATTCAAACAGTTTGAGAGCAACTGAATTTGCTATTGAAGTGACTACTTTTTTTAAATGCTTAGTTAGCAAAGATTTTAAAACTATCTTTTGAGTTTTCGGCTTATCGACAACCAGGGTTGCCACTCAAATCTAGAAAAGAAAAAAATTCCAATGTAAATATTTATTATAAACAATATATTAAGAGGAAACACAAGAATTACTGTGCTCTCATGTGAGCTTTATTGGACTAACTATACTAGTTTTAATTGCTGGAAAAATTCTACTGCTAGTTTTAATTGCATACTTAAATAATACTATAGTAAATGACATAGTTTAGTATAGCCAAAATATCATCCTTAAATATCCCATAGGTTGTGCTCTGAGTGGTCACCCTTTTTTAAAAGACGAAAATGAGAAACAAAATTCCCAATTTATTAAAGAAAAAAATTCAAATTCCCCAGCATTCCTGCAATTCCTGTTATTCCACCCAGCAATTTCCTGTTATTTTAGGTGATTTTTAAATTCCTTATATTTTCCAGGTTTTCCCTATTCTCCCTGTAGAGTGACAACCCTAATAATGTTAAAATAAATTGAAACTCAGCAGGGACAGAGTTTCAATTGCCCTTGAACTTAAAGCACACTCCGGTTCGACGGACCGTCTGAACTGTAGACTAGATTTCTGATTCTTAATTAAACAAGGAAAACATCGTTCAAGGGGGGAAATTATCCTAGTTGATAATTTCAGTGATATTTATAAGATCTCTCAGGTCCCACAATTCAAGAGTTAGCTCACCAAATATCAATGCATAATGAACTTAAAATGAAAAAAGAATTCCAAAAATTATCAAACAACAGCGGTCGCCATGGCAATGCATGCAATGACTACAAATGCACATTGTTTGCTCTTGAATACTCTGCAAGGGGAAAAAAATAGAAATTTATCACTAAAAATGTTAAATATAATTATAACAAATTGGAACAATTTTTACAATTAATATCAAATTATGTAAACAACAAACAATTAATTTCTTAAAGGTATTTAAGAAATAGTTTTATAGAATGTTATATACTTATAAAAAGCTTTTTTTTATTATTGAGGTTTTTACACATTAAAAAGGAATTTAAAATTATTATCTCTCCAAACACTAAAATTAAAAATGGAGAACATAAATTTTATGAATTATATGTTGCAGCTGAAATTTTAAGTGATATTAAAAATAAAATATAGTTGAACCTTGATGGGTCGTTTTTTTATGAGATCATTCATCGATAACAATGAATACAAGGAAATTATGAAAGTGGGTCAACATAAAATATCAAATCAGGGCTTTAAAGTTTATAAAAAGTTAAAATAGAAAAATTATGCACTAACTGGAAAAAAAATTGATGGCAAAGAAAGATGAATTAACATATCAATTTAAAATAATAGGAAGTTTTATTTTGAATATCTTTTCTTCCAATATTAGTAATGATTGCTGTGATGCCACAATTCCTAGCTTTTAAAATATCTTTAATTACTTAAACTTACTTTTTTTAAATTCTTATTAATCGAATTATATTTAAATTAAATCAATGAGTTAATCTATATGAAAGCGAACATAAAATATTTTATTCTTTTCTTATCGATCATTGTAAAGGGCTAACTTTTTATTTCAATATTAATGTACACTCATTCATACACTGTCGTGCCTCATCGAAAACAAAAATCCATTTATAACTCTTTATTACTAATTTCTTACCACAAATATGTTTCAGTTACATGGTTATTCTAATTCTCACAGTCTTTTTTGCGATCGGCAAAGTATTTTCAAACCTAATATTGATTATGGCGGGATGACTTTATTTTGGCTATGTTATAGTTCAATAATTCGCCAATCTCAGATCTCTTCTCCATGCTCTCGTGTCTGTCTCTCTCAATTTCAAACTTGGGGTGCCCTTTTGAGCCTCTCAATCCCAACTATTGAAAAAATATAATTTTCATGCTTACAAAACTTCTCGATGTAGAGAATGTTATCTTGATCCCTTTAAGGGATTTCTTATTTTTTTATGATTTGTATACTTTAAATATGGCCATTTTGAATATACTAATTCTTACTTATTAAATCAAATTTTTACTTAAACAATTTTATTCATTTTCTTTGAGACAATACTTCAAAAACCACTATAATATTAATAATGGCCATCACCGCCTTCATAATTGCTATTCATTTTCTGTAAGGTCATGTGAATACAGAAAGTTCCTTATTATTTTAAAGGTTTAAAGGCCTTCCACAATTGTTATCACTAGTTATGGTTCTGTTTCATTTTCTTTATCAGCATCATTTTGCACTTTTTAGACTTTGTCTTAAACCGGCAACCTCACTACAAGTTTCAACATTTTCATCAACTGATGCATAAATACCAAATATGATGTTAGAGGTGTTTTCCCCTAACAATAACAAATCTTTATTTTCTTTTTCTTCATTAGCATCAGGAGTCACTGCTTTTTGTCTCAAAACAAACAGACTTTAGTATTTTAGTAAATGTCGGTGGGATTTTTGAACAATATCAGCAGTAATCCTTTAGCTTCAAAACAATCGAAACAAGTGTATTTAATGTTATAAAAACAGCATTGAAACAAGACAATACATATGGAAAAGCAAAAGATGTGTTAATAGTCCTTCGAAGTTTGATTTTAGTATCCAATGAGCGAACAAACTCTAATCCCGAATGGTGAGCATGGCAAAGCAATTGTTTTATATCTTACTGACATGAATCTTGACTTTACCATGCCTAAGAGATAAATTAGTGTAGTTTTGTCTTCAAAATTTTTACTCTCAAACACAAACATACTCTTCACAAAATATTTTACTTTAAAAGTGGATTCTTCATAATGTTTTTCATTTTGAAAACTATTTTCTTATACTACAGACAGATATTGCACTATTTTCTTTCTGTGTTTTTCTGTCTAAATTCTAATCCTAATAAGCTTATCTTTTATTTATATTCTTAAAGTTGCAACTCATTCAAAAACAAAATCTCAGATATAGTATTCTTAGATATTATTTTTTCTGTCATCTTCAGTTTTTCAATTTATAATAAATGTTTTATAACCATAAATATTTTATTTATGGTTTTTATTAATCAATATCTCTAACTTAAATCTAGTATAGAAGAAATCGGTATGTAATACTTCTGAAGATGCTGAATTATGCATTGTAATGTGCGTGCATTATATTTTAGTTTACAGTGCTATTTTAATTTTAGAGTGTTGGGAGTCACTTTGCCTTTTTTAGTGATTTTAGCATTGCAAACTTGAGCTATCTCTTTTTTTTTTTAACTTTCATTCCCTATACTTTGTATCTTGGTCCTTTAGCTTTTCTTTTCTTTAAAAAGAAACAGTTTAGCTATAAAAAAAAATCAGAAACTAATTCCCTGTTCTTTTTTCAGACTTATTTTTTTTTATCAAGTTTCACAACCAATGGCATAAATTTTATTATTAATTTTTCAGCTATGCCTTATTTTAATACATAAAATATACAACAAAACACTTATATTTGCCTTTTGAGTTAAAAATTAACTAATTTTTTAGTAAAAAATGATGTACCTTAATATTAATTTATTTTCCCTGATTCTTTTTTTCAAGATTAATAAAAATTCCAGATTTGTGGCCATTCTGGAAAAAAAAAGCTTTTATCAAAGAAGTTTGCAACTATACAACCCTAACAAAAACTGCATGTTGTTTTATTTAAATTAATTAATTCAAGAAGTTTTGAGCAATAAAAAAAAATTACCAGCAAAGACCCTCCTATGTTTGTCCTCAATGTAAGAGAATCTCTTGATATACTCTTCTGGTGCTTGCAATGGTGAATAGGAATTTGCTGAATGAACAGCTTGATAAGCAACATACAGAAACAAAGGCTATTTAAAAGAAAGTCAATTAAGAAACAAAAATACTTACACAAAAAATAAAATTAAAATTTAACAAACAAATTTATTCTTCATTTTCCTTAAAAATGTAGTGATTTAAAGGGTCTGGTAATTCTAAAGTTAACCTGGAAATTAATTGACACTTCTGATGCAAACGTTGTTAACATATTTTGGTTTTAATGATAATAATTACTTTTTCTTATGATTACTGATTACTTCAAAGATAGATATTAACCCATTTGCAAAGCTAGCAATCACTATCTTAGTAAAAGAAAACTATACTGGATTTTTTGTTTCTTAAAGAAGAGATGTTAATAAAAGTCATTTTAAGGTTCCAAATGTAATAGCTCAATAAAATGTACTACAATAAAATACAATGCAATGCAGCTTTTACCACCTTCATTATTATTAACAAATTCATAATTGTTTATGATTGGTATAGTTCGTAATGTGACTACATTTGTATTCAAATTAATTTTTTGCTTATGAGTCCTGGTGGCTCAGGGGATAGAGCGTTCACCTTCCAATGAGGTGAACCGGTTTCGAATCTCAGCGATGGCTGGTCGATACAAATTCTGCACCGACGACAGTGCTGGCATAAAATATCCTCAGTGGTAGACGGATCATGGGTTAGAGTCCCCTTGCCACCAAGCTAACCATGGGAGGTTTTTGTGGTTTTCCTCTCCATGTAATGCAAATGCTGATTAGTTCCATCAAGAAAGTTCTGTATGAAGGTAAATTTCTCTCAATACTTGAACCTTGGGTTCAAAATTACAAGGCTACAGAGTTGAACATTAGTAGTTGTAAACCTAAAATTGGGTCAGCTGTTCAACAATGGTAATATAGTATTTAAAAAAAAATTTGCTGACAGCTGGCGTTGGCAAAAGGTTAAAATTGGAACTTATTACAAATAAAATAACCTAATTTTTATTTTGTTTTCTTTTTCAATTTAGCCTATAGCACTTATATTGTCTCTTGTAACATGAGCATATTATCAAGTATGAAATTAAATTGACGATATTCAATTAAAGTATAACGAAAGGTCTTCATAAAATAAAAGGAACAAACTTACTTTTGATTTATTATGATTTTTTATAAGATGCACAGCCTGTTCTGTATATAAAGATGTTGAGTATTGACCTAATTTGTCAGTAATAGATTTCATGTTATGGCGAAAATCCAAACCCCACAATTCACCCTAAATAAGAAACAAAAATCAAAACTCAGTTCAGATAAGAAAACTGATCAAAAAACATAGAAATAGTGCAAAAAATTTTAGTTTGAACAACATTTTAAAACAGCTATACAGTCTTAATAGATGGAAAATGAAAATCATGAATGCAGGTTAACATTTCTTATAACTTTTAAACCAGGATTAGAAAGTTCTGGACATCTAATAATATTCTTAAATAAACATATGTTAAAAATCAGTTTAAAAATATAGCATAAAAGCAATTCAACAAAATCTAGATCAAACGTGGGAAAGTGCAAAATCAGCATAGGCTCGAAATTTGCCTTCAAATAAATTTATAATAATTAAAGAGAAAATAAATTGAAATATAACAGAAGAAACATGAATGCAATACATAACTTCTTCAGGAACATCCTGCATGCATTTATGTGGGAAGTTTTATGTGAATAACTGTTTTTATTTTCTGTAGCCTAAAAAAGTCCTTTATTGCATTCATGTTTCATTTGTTATGTTTCAATCAATTTTCTCTTTGATTTTTATAATTACAAGTTCTAGATATGTCATGCAAGTTTTGATCCGTCTCATCAAAAACCTAACCACTTTATAAATTGGTACAAATACTACTATTTATATTTTAAGAAGCGCATTGCAAATGTTGTTTAAAGAATTATTACTAAATGCTATTTTCTTCATACAACTTAACATATGATGAAAAAATATTTTGGAAAAAAAAATTTATAACATAAATATACTTTATATCACTGATCGTTCTGGACATAAAAATTCGTATTTTAACCCGCAGTCTTCTCCGCATAGCAAAACCGGTTTTTCCATGTAATTAGATAGGGAAATAGTGTATTGAGGAGAAACATTCCTTTAGTTTTGCCCATTTTCTAAACCGCCAGCGGGTTAAATATGGATCATTAAATTCTAACAATAGAAAAGGAACTTTATTTATGCTCGCATATCCTTACATCAAAAGAGAAGTGGTATCAAGACTAGGAAAATATCAAAATGTTTAAATGTCATTACGGACATGTTATGCATAATATATAATGTATGCCTGAATGAAACTCTGAATTAATGAAAACTTATGAATGTTCCTATTATTCATCTGTCAAAAAAAAAAAGACATTAAAAAACATTAAGTGGTGCAGCCAAAAGTAAAGTTTAGGAGTATATTTAAAATTTTAGTATGTTTGGATTTTTGTGTGTATAGCAGGTATTGCATTAATTAGGAGATTAAAAAACTTTTTATAATTGGAAATCAGTGTTAAATTTGAATTAGCAAAATTTATAATAGTATATTATATATGATTAGTAAATTTATCAAAGAGTGCAATTTCCTCTACACCAGAACAAATCTCAGCACATTGAAATAAATTTTATAGATTTTCCAGTTAAACTCATTCTACAATCACAATTCATAAAATACTTTCAAAAGAAAATGAAATGTTTCAAATAATAATGAGAGAAATATTTTCTTTTTAAATGCTAGAAAGGAGAGGAAAGAAAATACCTTCCATTTAGTGGGTATGATAAAAGTAGTGCCTAATATAGGTATTGCGGTAGTCATTATAATACGCGAAAATTCTTTTGGTACACATTGAAGTATACTTCCGTTATCTCAAATTCAATATCTTGAAAACCTTGATGTGTCCAAAAAAAAACAATTTCCCCTTAGCCATACATATCCACCAAATATTAATTTCAATTTCTATGTCGAAGAGTTTGTAGACAAAACCTTATTTGGTTGAATACTTTTCAAAGTAAAAAATGAATTTTTTCAGAAGAATCACCAGGTACCAAAACTCGATATTGCTGCTCCCCAAGAAAATATGCTGCCCACATATGCTCAGAATATATGGAAAGCGATGACTTGGCAGCTATTTTTTGAATAGAAAAATTGATTGATGAGCAATTTCGAAAACGATGAACACTGTGGTAGAGTTTTTTTTCTTTATAAACTTTATTTATGTTAGTTTATTGTAAACGAATTCTTTTATTTTTAATGCACATTTATTTTTGTATTGCTTTTAAAAAAATTTATCATTGCTGCATTTAGACTTATTGTCAACTATTATACAAATATCTTTATTAGTATTTATTATAATATTCCATTACTCTATGTTTTAGAATACTATTTATGACCTTTTTTTTCTACTTTTTAAAACATACTTGGTTCTGAACTTGTTATCTTGAAAGCTCGCTATCTCGAAATTTTGTTAGCTTTAGCGTCCCATCTACTTTGAAATATTGAGAGTATACTGTATTAGTATATTATTAGCATATTTATCAAAGAAGGCAAATTTTCTGCTTCACTTAAATAAGCCTCAGTACATTGGGAGAAATTTTATAGGTTCTTAAGTTAAACTTTTTTTACAATCACAATTCATAATATAGTTTAAAAAGAAAATTAAATATTTTAAATAATAATAAGCGAAACATTTTATTTTTAAAAATGTTCGAAAGACAAAAAAAAAAGAACCATTTGGTGTGTATGATCAAAATAATCTTCTGCACCACTCCAATATCCATAATGGGAATCAAATCCTCTGAAAGTAGGAGTATAATTCTTCTTGAAAAAACCCAGATGCCACTGTGAATAAAAAAAAGGAATTAAAGTAAATAAAAATCCAAAATAGTTATGAATCTAGGAAAATAAATTAATAACATACAATTTCTCTTGCAAGTTTGCGCTACTCAAAAGCAAGTATAAATTGGTTGGAAAGATAAATAATTTCTGTTGCTGTTTTGAAGCTTGTTTCAGCCATTAGGGTTTGATTCATATCACCAACAATCACTTTCCCGACAAATCATATCACTAATGTCACTTCGTCAACACGATCACATTGCTGACTGCTCGTTTCACTGAATTAACAATCAATTAAATTTTTATTCATATTTTCAGACAAACTTTCCTTATTATTAGTACAAGTTCTTCCTGCTAAGAAACTTATTGAAATTATCTGAGTGGATTATATTGTGGTAATTATAAATATGTTATTAAATAACTTACTTAGTTGGATAATTGCTGAGATCTGGGGAAACAATTATTAAATAATAGCACTGCAGAGATTCTAAGTTTGAAATGAAGCATGTGTCAACTTTAATTTTTGATTTATAAAATATCCATCTTTAAAAAAAGTTTCATTAAAGTTTCAATTTGAAAGTTTTTATTATTTAAAAAATATTATTTTTATTGAAAAGAATTGCTCTGACAAATAATTTGGTATAAAGGTGATGCATGTCAAAAATGCCCATGCTAAAGTCTTACATACAATTTATTATTTCGTTAGTTTATTTCTACGCTATTCATTTGAGATTTGGCTGCAACATTCATATTTTTGCAAACCACCGGTTACAAAACAATTGTTTATATTATGACATGCATGGCTTTGCTATATCTAAATGCGTACTTCAGTATAGGCTTTTATGTTGTAACAAATATTGATTCGGTATGGTCTCAGTAAGAATTAAAGATATTAATTTCCTTTTTATTTGTTACAGTGACAAAACTGTATATTGTCTATAACTGCTATAAACCGTTGACTATGACTTGTTTTAAATATAGTGACTTTATTAATAATAATAACACAGCCTTATATTACTATATTTTCTATAGACTTTAAATTTTAATTTTTAACCAGAAAAATGTTTATCAAAAGCAAATTAATAGGTTAACTAACTAAACCTATTATAATAACTGCTATTGTTATTCATGTAATTAGAATCGATGTTTATAACTTATATGTATGTAATATAACTGATATAAAATCCATTTTAGTTTAAACTACTCATACTATAGGCTTTAAGCTAATCACACTATAAGCTATTTTTCCTCAATCGGTTCCTTGCAAACCTCAAGGGGTTTGTGAGGCGTATAAGGAGGGCTCACAAAAATATGATTGTATTGGCAAAATTTTAAATGGCTAATATAAAAAAAAAATTATACTTAATACAACTAAAATTATATTTCTAGGGGATTAGATAAAGTGATAAAATAAATACATCCCAAAAACTGTTGGAACAATTATTTTCAATTAAAATAATTGTGTTTTAAATAATAAAAAGTTTCCAAATGTTTCTTTTTAATAAAACTTTAAATAAGCACTTTCATATTATTTTCTAAAAAACAGTACTTAGTGAATCAAAAGTCAAACAAAAAGTAAAAATCTCTACAATGTTCATACTTAATAATGGCTTCCTTAAGTCTTAGCAATAACCAAATTTTGAGTAAGCAATTTAGGAGCATATTTAAAACTACTACCAAAATAATGCACATTAAATAAATAAATAAAAACGAGATTTTCAAGAAAAAACTCTAGTTACGAATATTGGAAAAATTCGTAAGTTTGAAGTACCGCGGAAAAAAAATTAAAATGGAATTGATCATGTCAGCGGAATGGTCGTGCTGTAAAAAGGATTATGTAGGCAAAATGAGCCGAAATGATAGCATTGGAAAGAATGGGCCTATCATGTGGGCAAAACAAATCATGTCAGCAAAACAAATCATGTCGGCAAAACAAATCATGTCGGCAAAACAAATCATGATGGCAAAACAAATCATGTCTGCAATACAAATCATGACGGCAAAACAAATCATGTCGGTAATACAAATCATGTCGGCAAAACAAATCATGTTGGCAAAACAAATCATGTCGGCAAAACAAATTGTAGGTGAAGTGATCGTCAGTGCTATGAACACAGCCTAGCCATTATTACAAATCATTCAAAGTGTAATAAGCATTTTCTATTCCACAGTTTTAGACTGAACAATGGGATGCTACACAATGGCATAGAATCAGAATCACTAAAATTTTTCGATGAGTTTACCCCCAATTTAAATCATTCAGGGGTGATTGTGACAGAAAGGGAAAAATATATACCTTCAAGAAAAATCTCAGTTCTTACAAGAATTGCGATGTTGGATTTTTAAATCATCTGAATATGAATTGCAATGCGTAACTTTCAAATCAGATAAATACGAAAATCAATGTTGGATATTTAAACCAAGTGAATAGCAATTGTGATATTAGAGCATTCCAGCCCCAGTGTTCGAAACATTAAAGTAGGGGGAAGATTCACGTGTATGTAAGCGCCTCATTAGTGGGAATTAGCTAAAGTTTCGTCAAATTATAAGTTTTTTATTAGCGAAAGTCCGAGTCCCAACGGTCAAAAGAAACACAGAGTTCCGCGATATTTCAAAAAATATCATATGCCTACTCCTAATTTTTAGACCCAGAAGGATAATATGAAAACCTGGAATTTTGAGGTACCACTGAATAGCAATCACCCCTGATCCTTCTGTACCAACCAAAGGCAAATAATTTAAATAAAAAATTAGGCACATTTTTACTCTAAGCGGAAAAAAAATTATTAACATAAATAAACTTTTTTGAAAGCATACCAAGAATTAATATAAGAAAATGTAATATATCTTCAAAAAAATTGCATAAAAAAAGTTTCTAATAATGTGGTTATAAGAAGTAATTATATAGAGATGGTCTTATTAATATGTATACCTTTGTGTATGAAATTAATGCTCGTCAGATCAGGATAGAAAAAAAAGCATAATTATGGAAATATCGAAATTCCTCATCATAACAACAAAAAAATTTAATAAACTTTTGTTTTTAAACCATGCATTCTTTTCTTTTATAAAGTAAAAAAATTTTAATAAAATATAGAAAAGCTATGAAGAATTTCATCAATACGGTGATATTTTTTGTCTAACAACATTACTTAAAATTTACTTACGATTACGTTTGCACTTTACTGTACATTTGATTAAGAAATCAGCATCCTTTAAAACTAAATATTAAATTAATGTCATCATTCATCATTTTTAAATGCTAATAACTATACAACTAAAATTTAGAGATTTGATTTTCACTGTAATAACATTATGAAAATATTAGCAATGCGAAGAATTATGAGTTTTAATTTAATATTTTATCTGAGACATAATCTTTTCTTAAGTTATTTCAACATATTACAATAATTAAAAAAGGTCACATATTGGTTATTAAAAATCATACTCTCTCTCTACTATTGCATACTACTATAAACATATATATATA